AGCCCAAGCTGCTTGTTTCTGCCCGTTGGCTGATTAGGGAGTTTCCTGGATCAAACGGGGATGACCGCCATCCCCTCATGATCAACAGGCTTCCCCCCCAGTTCACCACCTCTCCGGGGTGGTTCTGACACCCTGGGGTGTCCCAAACAGGTCAGAATTCAGCCCAGGGGACTGTTGTTGTCTCGTCGCGATGTTAAGCCGGAAGTCATCTTTTAGCCTTTTGTTTCTTGGCAAAGATACTGGAGTGGTTTGCCAGTTCCTGCTCCAGGTGGATCGCATTTAGTCAGAACTCTCCTTTATGACCGGTCCGTCTTTGGTGTCCCTGCACGGTATAACCCATAGCTTCTCTGAATTACTCAAGTCCCTTCGCCACGACAAGGCAGCAATCCATGAAGGGGAGGGGAGATATGATAGCACTTTTCAGATACTTGAAAGGCTGCCATAGAGGATCTGTTCTCAATAAACTCTTGAGTGCAGGACACTCAACAGTGGGCTCAAATTACAGGAAGCCAGATTTTGGCTGAATATCAGTAAAAACCTCCTAATTCTTAGAGCAGTACGGCAATGGAACCAACTACCTTGAGAGGCAGTGAATGCTCTAACATTGGAGGCATTCAAGAGAAATTCAGACAACCACCTGGCCAATATCTTTTGGTTTTTATTCCTGCCTTGAGCAGGGGGTTAGACTCAATGGCCTTATAGGCCCCTTCCAATTTCATTATTCTATGATTTTACGATTCTATGAATTTAAGGAGTTTATTTAATATGTAGTGGAGTTGGAATAGGTGATTGCTCACTTGTTAGTCAACAGGGTTATATATCATGGCATAGAGCTTAACAATGTCACTTTCTTATACTAAAACATCCAGAATTACCTTTTCAATGGTCATATTAGTTGGGGAATTTTGGAAGCTGCCGTCCAGAAAACTAACATTCCAGGCTCTAGTCTAATGAAAACTATGGCATTTGACTCCCCGCCCCCGCATGTGAAGATTTGTTGTCAGACATTAACTTCAGAGAAGAAGATATCTCTCCTACAATACTGACAGAATCTAGAAAAAAAATGGTACTGAGATTTTATTTTATCTTTCTTCCACCTACCCCATTAGCCTTTTTGCTGCTTTTGCATGGTCATCATAGGAACAAGATGGTAACCTGGATTTTTTGTCTGTGGGTTTTGCTGCACCACTCAGTCCTGGAAGCTCTGGTACAGTTGCCTGCTGATGAATCTGAAAACTGCTCTGACAAAAGCCAGAAAATTTCCTTCAGCCACTCATACAAGATCGACATGCCCAAGTCTTCTCAGATCAAGGTGGAAGCAGTCCCACAGCCCCTTCAAGATGACAGCAACGTTCCACTGGCAACTGATGAAACAGATGAGGGTGAAGAACAAAATATTATATTCAGACATAACATTCGATTGCAGACACCCAGAGGTGATTGTGGGATCCTTGGCCAGCTCAAAGGATTTTTGGAAAGGCTGGAGAAGATGGAGATGGACATGATAAACCTGAGGGGTCTCTGTAATCCTCAGAGATGCTGTGGAAGAAGCCAAGGTGAGAACTCTGGTGGTTCTGGGATGTTGGCAGAACCTGCACGCCACTATGCCAGATGCAGCACCCCAGCTGCGTATGGTGGCCTGTCAGGTGCTTGGAAGTCCTCTCTTCTTGCAGCCGCAAGCACATCAAAAGCAGAGTCCCAACAGGTAGTTGCTGTTGCATGTGATTGTAGAATTCAGCTTCGTGGGCTGCAGGTCATGAAAGTTTCCACCGAAACAATGGGCTTTAATTGTGCAGAATTTTCTGTGCAGTTCTACCCTTCCTCAAAGTGTTCTAGATAAGGGCAACACTTTTCTTTCGGCACTATGCATGCTTTTGTTACTCCTCTTCTTTGGTTTTGTAAATATTAACAGTGGTGGTGAAGTATGATGTCAGTCCTAGGAATAAACCTAGGAGAGGCCGAAAAGTAAAGGAAGGAAACTTTCTTTGCATGTTTCACAACTGGTCAGCTCATTGTTATGTTCTTATTAGGAAGATTTCTAGGTTTAAGAACCAACGTAGTTTTTCCTTTTTTGTCTCCCATTTCCTGTTTGTGGTTCTGGTCCTTGTGCCTTCATACAGGTGTGTCATCCTGTAGTGGCCATGGGACATTTATCCAGGAGACTTGCAGCTGCAACTGTGATGAAGGCTGGGAAGGCCTGGACTGTTCTCGACCTCTCTGCCCAGGAAATTGCAATGGTAATGGACACTGCATCGCAGGCCGTTGCATTTGCAACGCCCTGTATGCTGGGGAGGATTGCAGCCAGCTTCTCTGTCCCCAGAACTGCAGTGGCAATGGGGTCTGTCTCCATGGTGTGTGCCACTGCTACAAGGCATTCACTGGAGAGGATTGCAGTGAGAAGAGGTGCCCCAGGGATTGCAGCGGGAATGGCTACTGTGACAGTGGAGAGTGTTACTGTGAAGATGGCTTCCTTGGGCTTGACTGCTCCAAAGGTAAGAGGCCCTCCGTCAGAGACAGCCATGCATATTACTGAAGCAAAGAGAGGGAGCAAATACCTCTGAGCACAGTATTTAGTAGGAAGCCATAATAAATGAAGCAGGGCATGCCTGCTGATCACTATTCCCTCATCTTACATAGTTCATGCCAACTCTGCTTTTTTATATTGTGCTGACATGCTGCCTCCTTGAAGTCTCCATAACTGGAGCTGGATCTTTGCGACAGCATGGGTTTTCTGTTAATGAATAATTTTTGGCTCAACACATGCCTCTCTGACCGTGAGCTAGCCATGAGTTTTCCTAGCTTAAAGAAATGGCCACAATGGAAATGCTGCTTCAACCAAACAAGGACAATCATTCAGTAAAACCCGTAGCACAAAATAAGGAAGGAACAGGCTTTTTTCTTTGCAGGGCAAAGTGGAGGATTGTCATATTTTAAAATAGAAAACCTCACCTATAATACAAATTAAGCTTCCTTTAGCATCAGTGAATCTGGGATGTGGTGGCGCTGCGGCCTAAACCGCAGAAGCTTGTGCTGCAGGGTCGGAAGTCCAGTGGTCGTAAGATCGAATCCACGCGATGGAGTGAGCTCCCGTCGCTTTGTCCCAGCTCCTCGCCAACCTAGCAGTTCAAAAGCATGTAAATGCAAGTAGATAAATAGGTACCATCTCGGTGGGAAGGTAAAATGGCGTTCCCTAGTCACACTGGCCACGCGGCAACAGAAACTGTCTTCGGACAAGCGCTGCCTCTAACGGCTTGAAAAACGGGATGAGCACTGCCCCCTCGAGTCGGACACGACTGGACTGAAAATGTCAAGGGGAACCTTTACCTTTACTTTTTACCTTAGCATCACTGAAAGACTACAGATGTGATCAGCCAAGCTACAAAGCAATTGGAAATAATATCTTCATAATTTATCTGTTCTAGTGGGATGACAAGACAGTGATGAGATGCCAGGAAAATAATGTACAACAATACAATACTTGTTGATGATTGCTTCGGAACCAAATGCCACAAGACCTATTTTGCTGCTTGCTGGCGTTAGCTTAAATAGTAGGCACAACGCGATGCTTCTTTTGCAAAACCTTGAAATAAAAATACGTCAGCATTAGCTACTTTATTGTAACCTTTAATAATGATACCATTTATACAATTACAGATTTCATTGCCAACATATTTAATCAAGTGTACTGAGAGTGCTATAGTATGAGAAATGAACGCTATATTGGTCACTACTCCAGCCAATAGCATCATGCATGAAACCACAAGATTGGAGTAATGCCTACAAATGATCACACATCTAGGCCTCGGTTTGACATGGAAGTGGTCTTGGATACACTGATGGAGGAGTGGGGGGAATAGAAGTGTGTGCGTGAGAGAGGGAATGTGTCCTTTCTGATTCCTCTGGGCTTATTGGGAGCTTTTTATTCCATCCACCATGCTGTTTTACTGACTGGTATGGTATGGACTGGAAATTGGGGGTCCTGCTCCTACTTGCACGATCATTTCAAAAAATGGCATCAAGGGGTTTCTTCTCCCCTTTATAGGAGGGGTGTTGTGATATCCTTCAGGTTTCTTATTCCCCCCCTAACATTTGCATGAAACTGCTGGCAGAGAACAGCAGGGGATTGGAGTGAAGTGTTACAAGCACTCTGAAGACACCCAGGTCTACTTCACCCTGTCATCTGTGTCAGGACTCAGGCGAGACTGTGGAGCAGCTGGATTAATTAGGGCTGACAGAAATGGGTTGGATAAAGGGCTGATAATTTTTGACAGAATCTCAGCCAAGTAGAAGTCCAGAGGTTTGGCAGTTCTCCGTTCTGGGAACTGAACAGACAATCTGTTCTCAATGCTCTTTCACTGCCCTAAAATAGCATATGTACTCTTTACTCCAGTCCTGTCACTGGAGGCAGGGAGTTCAGTGGCAGAGAAAGCCTTTGTCCAACTATGACAGATGTGATAGCAATTGCTGTGTTCCTGGACCAAGATAGCTTAGCCACTGTAACCTCCCTTTTGTGTCATCATGATGAAATTACAATTAAACAAAATGAATAATGACCATAATCTACAAATAGTTAAAAATCTACAGTTAACATCTTCGCAATAAATAAAACAAGGTTATAAGCCAATTTAAAAACATATGTCTTCAGGACTTTCCTATAAGCAGCAAGAGTAGGAACCAATTCCAAAACTGAGGGGAATGTATTCCCCAGTCTGAGAGAAAGTTTCTCCCATGGGTCTCTGTAGCTGTTCCTGTTCTTAAAAGGACCTCTGCTGAAGATCTCAACATCCAGACAGGTTCATAATGGGACAGACAGTAATCAAGATGCAGTATATGTATTGAATTGTCTTAAATCTCCGATGGGAGGAAATGGAATATTAGGTAAGTGCTAGAATCCTTAAAAGGACTTGCTGCTTAGAAATATAGTGCATTCACACTACATTTCTAAGTACAAGAGCAATTTGAAGAGATAATTCACTGCTATGTCTAATAGATAATTCTCAGGAGAGAGTTGGTATCATGGTCACACCTGATTTCTGGTAACACCTGGTGAAATTCTGCCAGTATGGGAACCTGAAGTAGGACCTCAGATGTGAAATGGAATATTTACTATTGCTGCTATTGTTTATTATCGGCACAGTTTCCCAGGAAGCTCTCCTGTGCCTTCTCTGTTGAAATTATTTGGAGATGATGATAATTAATTTTCAGTCATGTAGGGGAGCTTCCTTATTAATTGTGCCTTATTTATTTGGCAGGTATGTACTAGCTCAACATTAGATTGAACATAGAAGTGACTAATTATCTGCCAAGTAAATTTCTGAATTTCTTCAAAATTCAGTTGAAGCTTTCCACACATGCAAGGACATACACAGAAGCATGTCTTGTGTTTTCTAGGTTTTCTGTTGTATGTGAGTGATTGCAGAAGCCAGACAAACAACTGATATAACTTCTGTGATAGCCTTGATGCTACCACAACAGGATTTTAGCTACTGTAGAGTCTCCTAAAATGTACTTGACATAGTACTAGCTTTTGCAGTGATATGGAACATATAAGCCACATACCTCATGACAAACGTCAGAGCTACCAAATACCTTAACTTTCATTTAAAAGGCAGTGGGTTCCTATCCTTTATTGTAGATGAGACAAGATGTAAAAATGAAAGGAGGACAGTATCTTTAACAGTTGCATGGAAGGAACCTCAGGAGATGCTGTTTGTCCTGTCATTTCAAGGAACTCTGAACCACTGGATTTTACTAGAGACCCAATTGTCACTTCAGGTGTAGACTCACAGATTTACTGGCACAAGTCTGAACTACTAAGAAACTTGACACAATGCTGAGAGTAAACGGTATCGCTCTGAAATATTTTTCGTTGGAAGACTCTTTATGAATTCTGTGGCTAATACCTTTTCTTTCTTGTTGCAGTGCGTGCTCCTTGGAATGCACGTCTCCTCAAAACCACAGAGGATTCCCTGGCTATTGGCTGGGATAAGATGACCGAGGTGGACTATTATGTCATTGCCTACTTTCCCCTGGGAAATGAGACCTCAGTGAAGCAAGTACAAGTTCCTAAAACTGACATCACCTATGAGATCCTTGGTCTTCTTCCAGGCACAAAATATATCATTGCACTTCGTAATGTAAGGAAATCTATTTCTAGTGACCCAGAACTCCTGCAAGGCAGCACAGGTAGGGGGCATTAAAATACTGTTTAGCCGTTCAAAGATCTGTGGTGTCAAACTCATAATTAGCTGATAGAAAAAGTGACTTTTTTTGGGGGGGGGAACCCACAATGTCCAGGAATCACCCCAACTACACTTAACAGAAGTCCATCTTTGGTTTGATTTGATGTCTGAATGTAAAAACCGCCGCTTCTTACCAGGTAGCAAGCCACAGCTGGACACTAAGCTCTGAAGCTGGTTCACCTACTGCGCTTTCTGCCAACCGTGGTGTGGTATATTTTCTGAACTGACAGAACATAATTATGGCCTTACTTCTATTGTGTCTGTGATAGGGATGGATACAACAGACACTACATTTCTCCTGCTCATCAATTTTATGCCATTTCAACAGAATGAGAAAACTTGTGGAGAAATGTTAAAGCTCCATGAGATTCCTTACCTGCAGCTGAGAGTGAGACAAAGATATATTGTCCTCCCTTCAGGTGCCCTGTTAAGAATCCTTTCTCTTTGAAAAACAAAGCACACGTATATACAGCAAGCACGAAAGGACTAGTAGATTGTTAAGAAAAATGCAAACCTCCATTCTACTGCTTCAAATTAATATTAAAATGGCAGACCTCCTATTTAGGGGTATTATGTGTGATTACACAAATGGTGCAAATGAATGAAAATTTTTCATAAAAATGGCATTTTGTGCAAAATAATGTTTTTACTAATATGGCAGTTTTTTTCAAGAATGTTAGGAAATTTGTCCTTGTGGTGATGTGAAGAATATTTTAATTACTTGAGACAAACAAGTATTTACATGCCAACTCTACACATCACAGTGATAAAACAAATATAAAATTTGTTGTTGTTGTGTGCCATTAAGTTGGAACTGACTTATAGTGACCTTAATAGGGCTTTCAAGGTAAGTATGGTATTTAAGAAGTATTTTTACCAGTTTCACTCCTCCAATGACTTTCCATGGCTGAGTTGGGATTTGAACCCTGTTCTCCAGTGTTCTAATCCATCACTCTATCCACTATATCACACTGGGTAATTTTTTGGCATATAGCAAAGAGTCATGGGGCATTTTGAAGTTTTAATGGGACACATGTTCTCATGACTACGACACATTTAGTCAGATACATGAAGTGTTATTCTCATTTGGTAGATACGTGTATATAAAAATTGGTTCAGAGGCAAAAAATGTAAGAGCATAAAATGCAAGAGCAGCAGAAGGCATTGAAATCTGCAGTGTTGAAGCACAACAATTTGCTGAAGCTTGTCGACTTCCTAACCAATCTGCATGCTTCCTTGTGTATCAATGGCCTGTCATATTTTATTTAATAGTTTTGCACTTTGAGCCCAACGTAAGATGTCTTCTTCTTAAACAACTTTTCAGTAGTCTTCTCCTCATTTAATTTTTTTTACTTAATTTTGTTCTGATTTATTCTGAAATGCCTTCTATTAACAGAGACAAAATAAGATGTGAACATTTTATTACAAACAAAATTTCTCTTTTGGCACAGTTTTTTTCTGTTTACCCAGATGCAAAGCTCGAAAATGTATACACATCTACACATTTTGCAGAATGAAACTTGGATGTAGAGGAATGGGCAGAGGCCAGGAATGGTCAGCCTCTGCTTACTGCAGTGATATAAAACATGCCAGAATAGGAGTGCTTCGTATAATCGTAAAAACTCTAAGCTGGCAGCACATAGAACAGTAACAGAAGGTACATAATCACAGAAAACATTCTTAGCAAATCAGAAGCAGACAACAGGAAAATACCTTCCTTCCTTTCTCCTCTTAATTCAAACAGTTACATTATTAGTCTCCATATCCAATCTTCTCTCACAATTAACCCCCCACTCCTAATGAAGAAAGGTTGTTATAATATCCTGTTACTGCTGTTTGAGTGATGATTCCCTTTTCCTTAGCTGTGTCTGCTGTTGGTGCAATCTGGGTGACAGAGGAGACAGAAAATTCCTTGGAAGTGGAGTGGGAGAACCCTGAAACAGAAGTGGATTACTACAAGCTGAGGTACAAGTCCTTGCTTGGGGAGGAGAAGGAGGTGATGGTCCCCAAAAGTGGTGATGCTAAGAGCAGATACGTCATCACAGGTAAATACATGGCAAGTTAGGTAAATGAGAGCTTTGGGAAATTTGGGCTGAGGAGGAAAGCTGCTCATCATAGTTTTATTATTGCTGATATTCAGACTGTCCAATTTGAAAGAAACTGTGTTTGCACAGTACCTGCTGCCGACCAAACACATTTGGAGGAGAAAATGCACCATTCTTTTTCTTGTCATTTGCAGTAACATTGATATGGAATTTTTATCTTCCACTGTGTTAGCTCTTCATTTTTCCAGTTACAGTGGTGCCTCAACTTAGGAACTTAATCTGTTCCAGAAGATGGCCGTAACTCAAATTGGTCATAAATCGGAGCACCATTTCCCATAGGAATGCTTTGAAACCCCATTAATCCATTCTGGCCGGAAAAAAAATCACCAAAAACAAAACAAAACAAAAAACAAAAAAACCTGCAAGGCCCATCGGAATGCACTGGGGGCGGGGAAAAAAATCACCAAAAAACAAGAAAACATCACAGCACAGAAACATAACCCCCCCAAGCCCAAACCCACACTGCAAAACTCTGTATGTATGTACTCACTCAGAAGCAGAAAGCAGCACCAGGGAGTCCGAAGCCTCTCTGCAAACGAACACACTCTAACCATTGGGGCAAAAGAGCTACAAAGAAGCAGCCTCTTCACTGACCAATGGTTAGCAATTTAAATTTCCCACCTTTTCCCCCACCTTTTTTCTGAATGTAACTCAAAGCTCCGATCACAAGTTGAAGCAAAATTTTGTGGCCAGAGCTGGTTGTAACTCGATTTGGTCGTAAGTTGGGACAGTCATAAGTCGAGGTACCACTGTACAGTTGACTTCCAGGTGCTTTAGTGCTTAACTGGATTTATTTTCTTTTACTGTAGACTCTCTTACTGCTTGGAGTGGGCTTCCCTTCCATCTCATGCTTGAAGTTCATTCTTCACCCTCATTACATTAAAAGAAAATATTATGAATCTAATAGTGCCTTTTCTTTCAGAGATGGGAAAATTAACTTGCTTTGGCTGTAATGCCCAGAAACACACTGCAGGAACAACCACAAAGTTTGCCCCACTTTTGAGTTTGTATTACCTTTCTAAAACTCCCAGATTTCCTTGGGTGTTTCTGTGTGTGTGTCTGTGGAATTCCACAGCACAGAAAGGGCCCTGTCTTGTATACTGACAAAACTAGCTCCTCCTGCTGGCACAATGGGGCCTCTGAAGAATTAAAAACATGGGCACGTTCATATGGGAGGTGGTGGTGGTTCTGATATGTTGGCCTCAGGCCACTTGAAGCTTTATAGGTCAAAACCAGCATCTTGAGTTGAGCTTAGAAACAAACTGAAAGACAGTGTAGTTGGTTCAGTGATTTATTAATTAATTTATTTATTTGATTTATATCCCGCTCATCTGGTAAATCTATACCACTCTGAGCGGCTAACAGGAACATATATACAATTATAATAAAATAAATTAAAAATCAATTAACAGAAAATGACAAAAATCATAAATAATCGCAAATAATAAATAGATAAAGAAGAGAAAAATAAATTAAGTTAGATTAGGTGCTGGCAGGAGGTGATATACGATGGTGATATACGAGATGAAGATGGATTTCTACCTTTTCACCAAGTATGATTCTAAAAGATCAGTCTTCCTGGACTGTCTTAATGGCCAAAAAGAGAGGGTGGGGTTAGAAACATATGTCTCACATAAATCTTGACTAGGATATTGTTGGAGGATGCAGTTGTGTCTCAAAAGTATTTTTTTCCTCCTGGTTTTTTGTTTGTTTGTTTGTTTCTTTGCAGGCCTGAAACCTGGGATGCAGTATGAGATCACTGTCATATCCATGAAGGGTGAGATGGAAGGGAAGCCCTCTACTGTGAACGGCTGGACAGGTATAAACAAAAATATCTGGCTGTTACCTGATGATGATGATGTACTTGCAAAACTCAATGATAAGGATTTCTATAAATGGTCACAATTACCACTGCATGGATCTTGATCATTCCCGCACTGCATGCTTCTGTCAGTATTCCCATTTACAATTAAACCGTATCGTTATTTCTAACACTGTTCTGTAAGCAAAGCAGGATGAAAAATTAACAGTGCTTTCTGAAGAAGAAGCAGTTTCCTAAACAAATAAATAAGCTTCAGTAAGAGAATAAATAGTAATGAGTAAATAAAGCATTTTATTTACTGAGAAGAGAAGACTCCCTGGAAAAGACCCTGATGTTGGGAAAGTGTGAAGAGGAGAAGGGGACAACAGAGGACGAGATGGACGGACAGTGTCACTAAAGCTACCATCATGAATCTGACCAAACTCCGGGAGGCAGTGGAAGAGAGGAGGGTCCTGGCGTGCTCTGGTCCATGGGGTCACGAAGAGTTGGACACGACTAAACGACTAAACAACAACAACAACAAATAAAGCATAATTAACAAACCAGTTGGTAATTTCCATTCAAAACAAGACACATCCTTTGGCCTGAGTAGCGAGCAATAGCAGGAGAAAGCAACAGCCTCTGTATCTGTGCTTGTTTAGTAGGCACTAGGCAATCTTATCTATATACAGGATATCTCCGTTTCTGGGCATTGCTTTGTACTCAAATTGTGCTGCTTCAGCAGCAGCTGCTTGTAGTAGTTAAGAGTAGTATAGTGTAGAGTGTTCACAACAGTGTGTCAGGTGCATGTACCATGGGATTGGGAACAGGGGCCTGGGCATATAGTACTAATTCTTGTTTGGAAGAGGATTGTCAAAAGACTTCAACATCAGTGGGTAATTATGTGGATCAGTGTTAGGCACTTGCATAATCTAGTCAGAACCAGTTACTATGATGAATACTATTGGTGCTGTTGATATCATTCATAACTATTTAATTTAAAGTATCTTTAAAAAAAGAACTTCTAAGCAAGTCTGTATTTTCCTGGTGCTCTGTGCTGTGTTTTATTGTTCTCGCCCCCACCTCCATGCAAGAATATTTAGCTCATCTATGTTTTGTTTCCTTGTGGGATTTCCTGAGGGATCCCCACCTGACTTTCGAACAGGATGGCCTCCTGTTTTGGGCTCCAGCTCTTTGCTTTCATCCATAAATTAAGGCTTCAGAAGTCTTGGTGATGCACAGCAAGGCCTTCTATCTGCTCTTAATCATGTGTTCCAAACAAATGCCAGTGTTGGTGTAGCTGATGTGGTGCTGTGTTCTCTGTTAGCCAGCTCACATGGTTCTGAATTTCCAAAAGTATATTTGAAAATTTAAAATATGAGCATCAATTGAGGCTAACTTTTATTTTCTTGAATAGGTCACATAACTTCAGAAAGTACTCTTTTCTGTGGTAACTGTGAACCTGGAGTTTGGTATCCCCTGAGAACCTTTGTGAAATCATTGTAGTAGTTTTGTAGCAGCTTGCAGCTGTTTGTATCACAAACCGTGAGTTTTGTGACTTCACCACAACAGCAACGGAGAGATCAAATCAGGGTTCCTAGCTGACAGCCCCAAATCTACCATTGCCCTTTGCCAGATTTTATAGTAGTTGTGTAGCATTTTCAACTCCAAAACTTGATAATTTTCTACTAATTTTATTTCTATAAAGCTTCCATAAACTTTCCATAAAATTCCATAAGCACAAAAGACCAAAGCCTTTAAAACAGGTAACTTTTAGAAAGTCACAAGCATATCCCTTCATCTTACAAAAATCATCCTTATATTTATAAGAAACTGTAGACACATATCTTTAGTATATATGAAAATTAAACTTACCGTTGTAGACAAGCACTTCAGTCTAAAATATACCCACATAATATTTTTTAAGAGTAAAGACATTTTAGAATTTAAAAAACAACGAGAATTTTTCAAATACATTTTAAAAATGCAATAGCTTATAGACTAATGATAGGGCTAATATTAAACAGCAGGTGGAAAATATATCTCCTAAAGTATTAAATTATAAAAATGTATAAATTAAAAAGGCATTACTTAGCTCTAAGCACATTTAAGAACACTCACAAAGAAAAAACATTTTCTCACCCAGACATATGTAAAATCCATTTGGTTGTTGTTGCAGCATCTGGAAACAAAACCTGCTGCTGCGTGGGTACATCTTTTTTGATAGTTGGTGCCCAAAGCAGCATGGAGTTGCGATGAATGCCTGTTTCTTCCATCATTCCCTCTGTTTCTCTAATGACTGTGTGTCTCCTATTGCTATATGTATAGTCTGTGCTCTTGCAGAAATCCAAACAAAAGGTATCTTACCTAGCACAGGGAGCTTATTGTTATGGGAGCATCTTGGTACACTAGCTAATCAATAGCCGATTAATCAGTACTCTAGAGGTCCTCTACTACAGAGGTCGTCAAGTCCCAGTCCGCAGCCCGGTGCCGGTCCGTGGCCTGAGTTGGACCGGGCTGCGGAGACAGACCTCCCGCCGCCCTGCACGCACTTCCTTCCCCACAGCTGCTTTGCACATACGCACGTGTGCCAGCGCTGCCATAAGTGCTCCCCCACCCCTTCACACATGCGCCTGCATCCCCACACGAAGGGGTGGGCATGCAGCCCCTCCCCCACCCCAAAGAGGTGGGGGAGTGCTCACACTGGTGCTGGCAGGCGGGCACTCTGCCACTGCTTCACACATGCACCCGAGAGGACCCCCGTGCAAGTGTGTGTGGGTTCCCCACCTTCCTCAGAGGCTCAGCTGGTCCACGGTCCCAAAAAAGTTGGGGACCGCTGCTCTACTAGAGCTAGAGGGTTGTAGGAGACATTAATGGCAGTTGATGGTGTTATAGGAGCACATATAATTTATTACCCCTTTTGAAATCAATTTAGTATTATAGGTTGTGCCTAAAAGCTCATAAAACAAATAACACCCTTCCCCTCCTTCTCTAGTTATGTATCACAACACAAAGAGTTTAAAATAACACTCATGTTTTTCTCCTTCTACAAAATTATACAAAAGCTTCTATTGTACAATGCACTGTTCTTCTCATTTGCATACTATAGTTATAGTTATCCACATATATTTACAGTATTTCTTTGTCAAATATCATCATAAGCAAAGTACAACATAAGCAGTATTTTAAAATACACTCCATTTTTCTCATGTTCTCCTTGAATTATTGCTGATACTTTCATGCAAAAGCAGTACAAACTGAATGGAATATTTCTGCCCTGCTATCTTACCAGTAGCAGTGTTCCCAAACAGTCTAGGCATTTTGTTATTGTAATGTAAACTATTTCTTCATGAAGCACTCTTTCAATTTTACTTTCACTTTCTCAGCAACCTTTGAGGCACTTTCTAAAAAGAACTTTTCATTTTTACGGCAACACTTCTGCACCTCCTAACCTTGAAGTTTCTGAATAGTGACAAAAGGTCTTTGCTTGCTTGTGGAAGGACAGGAAAGATGGCATCAGCCTAGCCTAGCATGAGAGGGAGTTCCAACGTCTTGGAGCAGCAACAGAGGAGGTCCTCTCCTGTGTCCCCACCAAAAGCACCTGCGAAAGTGGTAGGACTGAGAGAAAGGCCTCTTTTGATTGTCTTAACCCTTGAGCAGGCTCATAAAGGGAGAGGCAGTCCCTGAGATAGCTTGGGCCCAAGCCACTTAGTCTTTTATACAGTAGGTTAGAACCGGCACTTTAATTCAACCTGGAAATGGATCTGCAGGCCATGGAGCTGCTGCAACAAGTGGTGGGGGCTATTTGATCCCTGTAGCCAGTCTCAGCTAGCAATTTGGCTCCTGTGTTTTGGACCTGCTGAAGTTTCTAACACTTTCCATAGGCAAACCCACTTGGAGTATGTTACACTGACCAGCCATGAGGTAACTAAGGTGTCCAGATCACACCTCTCCAGGAACGAGCGCAGCTGGCACACTAGTTTTAATTGTGAAAATGCACTCCTGGCCACTACCAAAACCTGGGCATCCAGGTTCAGAGATGAATCCAGGAGCACCCCCAGCTGCACACCTGGGTTATTAGGGAGAGTGTAAACCCAACCACCACAGGCTGCAGCCTTGTTCCTTTATTTGCCTTTCAACTGACCGGGAGCTCCTCTGTCCGGTGTGGATTAAGCTTCAGTTGCAATGAACGCATTTGGTGTGAAGTCTTAGTAAGCTTCCCACTGCTCAACATTTTCATCCCACTCTTCTGTGGAATAAATGCTAAGTCTAGTGCAAAATCTTACAGAACTACTGTATAAACATTGGTTTTGTGTAAAAAGATCAGTGCTGGATTTTGGGGGGTGTTAACTAAGGAATCTGATTTGATTTGTCACTCACAAAGTTGTGAGTAGTGCTATAAAACGCGAGGTTTAAGCAACAAATGCTACAAAATTTCTATGAAAGGTGACAGATTTTCAGTGAAGAGGATGGTGTTGGTTTCTGGAGGTGAATCCTAGCTTGATCTGTCATCTATATAATCCTATCCAGTCATTGTAAAAGTGTGCGGAGAACACAAGAAATGTGTGGAAGAGGAGGTCCCAACCCTTCCATCTTTGCTTTTGTGAAGGTGACAGTCTGAAGAAAGAAAGGCTGTTGTATCTTTATAGGCTTTCTACTACCTCAACCAGAATCCTGTTTTCCCCCCAACTCATGTGCAGCGCATGCACAGATACAGCAGCATCCCCACTTCAGGCCATTGCATTTAAGCGTTGAAGGCAATGTCAGAGAATGCTACAGAACCATGGTAAAGCACCGGTGTAAAGGGGTGCCAAATTTCAGGGTTCATAGTTGACATATGGTAGCTGCTTTCAATAATATAAAGACTAGACCTAGATTAATGCCCTCTGCTGTTGAATTTGTATGAATCCATTAATGGAATTACCAGACAACTGATTTTATTAAAGCTGGGTGGATCTGGACACTCTGAAATTCCTTTCAGTGGCTGTTGCCTCTACCAGATGCCCAAAGCTGGAAGCACAAGGTTTATTTTTGGAGAGTATTTTTGGAGAGTTTACTTCTACTTTCACAGTGTTCTTGTCTATGAGAGGAAGGATGGTTGGGGCACAGAGGCTGTTTAGGTCAATTGATTATTGCTCTGGAACCTCCAGATCTTGCTGATGGCATGCCATTTTAACACCTTCCACTGCAACATGTTGTGCTCTGCACTGATCATAGGAAAACATTTCCTCTGCAACATTTCACATTAGTTGCTATATCAAAGTAATTTTGATTGCCTTCCTAGCTCTCAGAACCAAGGAAGGCAATCAAAATGGCATATATACAAAACATGATGTTAAGATGCAGACTGTCATGTAGCTTTATATTGTATAGGTGCCTCTTCCAGATTTTTAAAGGGTGTGCATTTTCTGATATAGATTGGATGGCTATCAAAGGGCCAAACAGAATACATAACAGTAGTTGATGGTATTAATTTCTGGTTTTTATCCTAATGTCTTAATTCTCCATTTGTAAAGCTGCAATGAAAGGTATGGCAGCAGAATGGGAACATCTCCTTCAATTGAGCACTTCTGTCTTTCCTCCAAATAATTGTTACTGTTTTTCCAGTTTAGTGCTATGTCAGATAAGCACTGCAGTTTCATAAGTTGTATCAGTCAGCACTAGTCACTTGCCAAAAATTAAAATAAAAACTACGGTAAATAGGGAAGAGGGCGATGTTAATGACAGAGGAGGATGGTGTACCTGTGATCCTGGTAAGAACAGTAGCTCTTTGAGGTAAGGTGTGGATGTTTGCTCCCACAAATGTCCAGGTTAATAAAATATTCTCTGTAAATGACAACAGTGATTTAACTGCCACAGGAAACTTCAATACAGGGCAGTCTCTTAGTCTAGTTACACAATGAATCTTGATTTTTGTTCCTGTATTCAGATATGGACCAGATTGGGGGGCCAGTGTACCATTCTAGTAGGAACGCTTTTTAACAGTCACTGAATGGCTGAGCCAAAGGTTGAATGAAGATGACTTATTATTTCAACCATGGGGAAGAAAGATGGGCCTCGAATAATTTCTGCCATGACTATGAATTAGACATGGGGACAAATATAAAAATGAATGAGGGTATTCAACGAATATCCCTGATTTGTCAGATATTTGTTGCTTCATATTCTTGGAGTCCAGAGATCCTGATGAATACAAAGCAATGAATATAACCCTCTTGTATTCGTCCCTTCATTCCCTCTCTTCTTATGCCCCCACGAATCAGCTGTTCCTCGGGGGCATAAACAGAGAAGGATTTTCCCTTCTAGTGGCTTGCTAAAGCCTGCCCAAAGGGAATCCCACCCCTGGGGAAGGGGGATGGCTTGGGTTGGGCTTTCCCCCTCTTTCTGTGCCCAGCGGGGGCAAAGGAGGAGGGGGAAAGGGATCAAAGGGATCCCCCAGCCTGGGATGGCTTGGGTCAGGCTTTACCCCTCTTCCTACGCCCCATGAGGCAAACCAAGATGAAGTGCCACAAAGTCTGAGAGGAAAAATGTTGTGGAAACTACTGCAGGAGACACAGAGTTCAGCCAAATTACTTATAAACTTGTTTGGTTTGCAGCCAAGTATTCAAGAACACTACAAAATGGTTGGTATTCAGTTAAGATATATGCATTTTCAGGTACCCTGTCTTGTATAAGACCCTCCCCATATATGATAACTGTAGCACATCATATATACCAGAAGCAATTTTGTGCAAAAGATAAACAATAGGCTTACAATTAGAAAATGGAACTACCTTAAATTTAAAATATAAAACGTTGCTTTTAAAAGTTCATTACCCTAAGGATGGTAAATGGCTTGTTTGATCAAGCTACATTTTTCTAAGAATCAAAGTTCTTTTTCAGGAAATGCAATCAACAGGCTATGAAGCAGAAGCACACTCATATTTACCTCAACCATATTTTGGCAGGGCACAGAAGCTGGATCAGGAATTTATCTCATAACACTGAAGTCTCTCAAGGGCAATTCAAACTGAATCTGAACCTCCTGGAAAACTTAAGTACCATCACTGAAAGCGGGTGCACGTGCGCACACACACACACACACACACACACAAAAACACACACACACACACACAGACACAAACACCCACAAAGACAACACACACACACACACACACACACACACACACACATTGAAGATTGGGGGAAATGGCCCCTTGGGTCATGGAGCAGCTTTTGACCATAGTAGTGGCCATAGACAAGCCTTGTGAAAGAAAAATCAGAAAATCATGTTCTAAGGTTTTAGGTCTCCATGCCAGTGCATGTCAATTAGAATTAAGCATCGGTAAGTGCAGGTTGTTAGTCACGACGACAAGAAATGAGTTTTTTGCACTTTCCTAAGATTGAAAATACACATGGAGAGGAAGTGTTTTTCCCTTCAGCTCTCAGTATGAAGTCCAAGCACTATAAAATGGCTGCAACCACATCAAGCAACGTTGGGATCATTGCAACACCCCAGCCCACCCCAGTGGTGGAGGGACCCTTCATTCTAGCACCATTATTCAAACCATTGGTTTAAAATTTCTTTTCTTAAAGAAATCGACTGCCCCCAAAACCTGGTGACAGACCAAGTGACAGAGAGCACAGCTTCCCTCTCTTGGAGTGAAGTCCAGGCCCTTATTGACAGATATGTGGTGATCTACGGTTCTGCCCATGGGGATTCTAAGGAACTCTCATTGAGCAAAGACAAAAGCAGCACAATCCTGACAGACCTGAGGCCAGGCATGGAATACTTCATCTACCTCTGGGCTGAAAGGGGAACTCAGCAGAGTGAAGGGAGAAGCGTTAAAGTTTTGACAGGTAACACCAGGGTGTGTGTCTTGGATTATGGAAGTACCTGCAGAACTACAGCTGCAGAACTGCTGATGTTGAGTGGCAGCTGCTCAGAATATATGAGGGAATGTCAACCCTCACTTCTAAGTCACTGGGTGGCTTTAAAGAGGCTGCATTTTTCTCAGCTTTGGCCCTTAGACTTCCACTACAGGGATCACCCACTATCTCAGGACTCCTGGAGGATTCTTGAGATAATACATGCAAAGAACTCTGAACAAATAAGGCTATACAAATACTATTACAGTGGTACCTCGACTTACGAATGTCTCCACTGGCAAACGATTCGAGTTACGAACGGCTCCATTCGCAAAATGTTGCTTCGACTTGCAAATGGAGCCTCGACTTATGAACAAAAAACCATGAAAAAAACCTTTCCTGCCCCTTTTTTTGACCTAAGTCCATCTTAGATCAAAAGAAGAAAAAATTTAAAAAAATTCTCCCCCTAGTGGTAGAATATGGATTAACCGGCTTTGCATTAGTTCCTATGGGAACTAATGCCTCTACCTACGAACAGCGCCTCGGCATACGAACAAAAAACAGCAGGTACAGATTAAATGGTTTTCAATGCATTCCTATGAAAAAGTTTGCCTCGACTTACAAACTTTTCAACGTACGAACGCCATTCCAATACGGATTAAGTTCGTAAGTCAAGCTACCACTGTACGTTGGTGATCTAATCCTTCCACTAGAAATGCAGTTCTCTCATTCCTCATGGTCTTGTGAAATGGCCTGCGTTTGAGGGCAGTGTAAGGAATTTGGGTCTTGAAGAACAACACAAGGGTGACTGTCTGTTATTTAGAAATAGACCTTGTTAGCTTGGTACATGTCACAATGTTCACTCTTCATTTCATTCCATAACATGAATTGGTAAGTAACTGTGGGTCTCTTTGCTCACAGCTTGATCCTGGGCTATGTTTACTCAGAACTAAATCACACTTTAGTTTACTTTAATTTAGAAAGAAAGAAAGAAAAGAAAAGAAAAGAAAGAAAGAAAGAATTATGAGGGTTTTGTTTAAGGAGAAGGCAGAAACAATACAATAGCAAAGAAGTGAGATGAAATGCTATTTTATTTCTTCCAATTGTCTGGCTTACAAAGTACTTAAAATTTCACTTTAACCAAAAAGCTAATTAACTGCTATAAAATTAGTATATTTAATAATAGTTTATGTGGCATGTTAAATACCTAATAATGATATGGTGACATACTGATAAAATTTGTAACAGAAGTAAGATCTGACACATTTTCATGTGGAATTGTTAATTCTGCCACTGTCATGCTTCCATATTTCTTGTGATACAACAACAGACAGATTTTTGTCTGAAGTAGTATTCTTTCTGCACCATACTCTTAGCCCTATGGTAGTCTGCACCCTCTAAACCTGCTTTTATTAAAATTATCGTGACCAGAGTTGTGGTTCACACATGCAAGGTCCAGTGTTATGAAGTCTATCCAAAGTGTATCTGTTCAAGTGCAGATGATTTTAAAAGTGTCTCTCTTTAGTTCCACACTTGTGTTTCTCAACTTCCGCTCGTTCTTCAGCTCATCTCTGCTCTAAATGCTTCTACTTTCATCTCTTAGACTGCTGTAGGAATGTCTCCCTTAGCATATGTAATCTGTGAGTGTTACTTTGGTATGGGACTGTGCAAATAGACCGGTTGCCTCATTTGGCAGAGAGAAAAATGTTCTTCCAGTTCTGAAAAGCCAAAGCTTGCCTTGAGTTCATGCAATGTCATCATCCAAAAAGGGTCTGTCCAAAGATGGTATCATTCATTCACTGGCAAGGGGCAAAGTCAATGCATGAATCCAAAGGACAATAGTTGCAAGTAGATAAACCTCAGTCTGAGTTCTCTTAAATGGCAGAGGGAGAGACAGATAGAATTGACCCACACAATGCATGATCTACTGTGCATACTTCTCTGCACAAGAACAAGGTTGTGCATTTGCACAGCAAGGGATAGGGGAATCTTTCAGTGTTGGTTCTGTTCAGGTTCTAATTTTCTGGATGTTATGTCCATTCTGTGCGTTTCCATACTACAAAGTTCTGTTTGTATTTCCAAGCAAATTAAAATAATATGTATGTATGTATGTATGTATGTATGTATGCATGTATGTATGTATGTATGTATGTATGTATGCATGTATGTATGTATGTATGTATGTATGTATGCATGTATGTATGTATGTATGTATGTATGTATGCATGTATGTATGTATGTATGTATGTATGTATGCATGTATGTATGTATGTATGTATGTATGTATGCATGTATGTATGTATGTATGTATGTATGTATGCATGTATGTATGTATGTATGTATGTATGTATGCATGTATGTATGTATGTATGTATGTATGTATGCATGTATGTATGTATGTATGTATGTATGTATGCATGTATGTATGTATGTATGTATGTATGTATGCATGTATGTATGTATGTATGTATGTATGTATGCATGTATGTATGTATGTATGTATGTATGTATGCATGTATGTATGTATGTATGTATGTATGTATGCATGTATGTATGTATGTATGTATGTATGTATGCATGTATGTATGTATGTATGTATGTATGTATGCATGTATGTATGTATGTATGTATGTATGTATGCATGTATGTATGTATGTATGTATGTATGTATGTTTGTTTGTTTGTTTGTTTGTTTGTTTTAATATACTGCCACATTAGTTTTAGAAGAGGCAGCCTTGTTAGTTTGTGCAAGCATATCAGACAAAATACAAGGGAAAAAAGAAACAAAGCAAAACAAAGATAAAAAGACAAAAACATGTCGTACCTTAAAAACTAAGTACAGTACAAGGCTTAAAAAAGTGGATGTGATCTAATATTTTATACTATAAAATATAACAGTTGGTCTTTAAGATGTCACATATTTTTGTTTTTTGTCTTTTTTGCTTTCTTTTGTTTTTGTTTTTTTTCCTTTGGAGTTTGCTTGATATGTCACACTAGTGTGATGCACTATTCTGTGTGGTTAACAGACTAAAAACCAAACAGTAATAAACAGACAGTATGCATTTTAAATGTATGAATTTTTGTGCACTTTGTATTCAGATAGCATTTTTTTACAGAAATGATGTCCAACTAAATAGTGTTTTTTCCCTTCTCCCCAAATCTCCAAATGCTCACTTCTGTGTTTATTTTTTGAAAACTGTACACAGGATTTGTGGGGGTGTGTGTGTTGTTTTTAATATGCTCATTTTGGAGTTGATTTCTTGGAGCAAACTGTATTACAACATTCGGAAGGGTACTTACTGAAAAGTGAACAAAAATTCCACATGCCTTCTATGTGGCTACATTAATTTCTGTAAACTTGGAGGTGTGCACTTCTTAACTGACAAGAGAGGTTACCATTTGGAATTTATAATCCCAGACATCAAAATGCATTAGGTTGTCTGCTAGAATTACTGTCCTAATTAAAACATCTTGTCCTCTTCACAGAACTTGATGGCCCAACTAATCTGGTCACCACTCAAGTAACAGAAGACACGGCTACCCTTTCTTGGAATGGGGCCAAGGCTCCCATAGATAGATATATCATAAGCTATGCCTCAGCAGATGGTGACACCAAGGAGATATCTGTGGGGAGGGACAAGACAACCACTACCCTGATGGGCTTGAAACCAGGCACTGAGTATACCATCTCCATTTGGGCCATGAAGGGCACCCAGCAGAGCAGGAAGGCCAGCACAAAGGCTGAAACAGGTAGCCCATGCATGTGGTATTTTGAGCTTCTCTTTCTCGTGAATCGTCTTTCTCAAGTTTTTCATTTCTTATTAAATAAAAGCTTGAACTGGGAAAAAACAGGAGCATAAAAAGTGCCTGGAGAGGTGGATCATGGCGGAGGGGGGCAGTTGATAGCGGCCTGGGCCAGGCTCAGCCTCCCAGTGCTGGGATGCTGCCCCCCCACACACCCCATCCCCGTTCCCAGAGGAACCCATCAGGTGGCAGCAGCACTCGCCCGGCTGTGCAGCTTCCTTCGGCGGCACCTCCATGCCGACCGGCTGGGCCTGGTGGAGCTTTTCATCCTTCGTGTGGCAGATGTTGCTGAGGCCCGATATGACCGCCCCAGCGAGCAGCTGCCGGTGCCGGAGCGGAGTGTTGGGTGCCCCCAGCAGGTGAGACACCGCTCTTTGACGGCTGCCCAGGAGCCGCCCACCAGTGGAGAAAGGGAGCTGCCCCCGGAAGGGCCAAGGACTGAGCGTGGCCCCACCAGGCAGAGGAGGAGGCAGCGGTGGTGGCCCAGGCGCAGGCAGTGAGGCTGTGGCAACGGCTCTCAACTGGCTGCGCGTTACCGAGACGTGCGTGACCGAGATCCTTCCTTTCAAACCAAGGGGGTAATGTCGGCGTATATAAATTTTTTAGGCGGTAAAAGGTAAAAAAGTTCCCTGACCCCTGGTCTACAGATTCCCCCATCAAGCTTTTTTTCCACCCAGGAGGAGTTTCTGAACTTCAGGGTGGCAGGTGGAGGTTTTGTCTTCAAGGTCCGGCTGATGGAGAGGGCTGCAGAGAAATCAGGAAGAGGATTTTCTTAATTGCCATTGGCCAGAGGTGGTCATGTGATCTCTATAAATAAAGCTTCCAGTTCATCTTGCTGAGATGAGTTATGTGGGAAATGGTCTTGCCTTCTTGTAACCTGAGCATTTTATTAGATTTTAACCATTCCAGGTTACAGTACATGTAATAAAGGCTCCAGTTACAGGAAGCCAGATTTTGGATGAATATAAGGAAAAATGTTAACTGTTAGAGCAGTAGGACCATGGAACCAATTACTTGTGGAGTCAGTGAGCGCTCCAACACTGAAGGCTTTCAAGAAAAAAAAAACTCGACATCCATCTGTCAGATGTAATTGG